TCTCCAGAACGGCTTGACCGATTTAAAATTTTTTTGGCTCAAATTACTCGTGGCGATGCCGCCTTTCAGGACATATGACGTTCGATTCAAAATTTTTTATATTTTAATAGTTATGCACCTCCCAAAAATGGACTTTGGTGGCTCGGGATAAGAGACTTGTAGCGTTCACAGTTTTTTTGAACATGGCCGGAGACGCTACCGCGTCTCCTGATTGTAGCGTTCACAGTTTTTTTGAACATGGCCGGAGACGCTACCGCGTCTCCTGATTACATATATGCAGTTGTAACGTTAATCGTGCATGAATAGTGACAATTAATATAGAAAGAAGGTCACTTTTCATTTTGTGAAAATTTCCGATGGACAGAATTAATTACCGTGGGTGTACCATTTTGGGCTTGTAGCAATAGTTAACGAGATATTAATTTTTAAAGATTGGCAAATATGCGCGTTCGTCCAGCCTACCACACCATTGAGTGTACATACGCCTACAGAACGCCGCGATGGGCGCGCGGGCCGCGGGAAGCTGCGGGACGGCCTGGCAAGCGCGCCGTTCAAGTCATACGTTTGGGGGCTAGCGGCGGTGTGCGCGGCGCGGGTGGCGGAGCGCTTGCCAACCAATCCCCACTCTTCGCGCGGCTAGCTATCGCGATAGCGAATTTTCGGCGCTTCAGAAATTAATATTTTGACTGCGAAAATCGGGAAATGATTGAAATCTTTTTGAGAACTCAATTTAGTTCGCTCTAAAGCGTGTACATGCCCGTGTGCATACAGAAAAATGTTATAAATATGAATTGTTTTAGATAAATAATAAGTGTCTTATTTTTCACAGATTTTCATTCATCATTACTTTCAAATATAAGATCGATTACAATTTGTTACTCCTGATATTGTAGCATTGTTACATGTAGTAAATGATTTTATAATATTAGAATTTCTTATAAAGGATCCAATCAAGGATCAAACATAAGAAAAAACGGTACAATAAATCAATCGTATCAACACACACTTACATCCTGTGTACAAGACTCGATTCCACTTTCTGAGAATAATAAGTGTATTTTAAAAGACTTGATAATTGTACCGACAACACGTTCATTAATAAGATAGAGCGGACTAAACTGAGTCGAAAAACCTTTTACCAGTAATTTGTAATTTTCGCAATAGTTAACGAGATATTAGAAATTACTAAAATATTAATTTTCAAGAATTTTTTACTCAAGTATTATCAACTTTACAGAAAAACAGCAAAAGACAAAAATTGTTTATTTTCTTTTCATAAAGTTCTGGGAATTTTTTCAGAAATTTTAGTACCGTATTTTCTCATAAAAACAGTTTTGTTAATAAGAAAATGCAGCACTAAAAGGTTGATAAAAAATTATGAAAAAATGTCTAGAACTTTATGAAAAGAATATAAACAATTTTTGTCTCTTGTGTGCTGTTTTTTTGTAAAGTTGATAGTACTTGAGTAAAAAATTCTTGAAAATTAATACTTTAGTAATTTCTAATATCTTGTTAACTATTGCGAAAATTACAAATTACTGGTAAAAGATTTTTCGACTCAGTTTAGTCCGCTCTATCTTATTAATGAACGTTGTCGGTACAATTATCAAGTCTTTTAAAATACACTTATTATTTATTTAAAACAATTCATATTTATAACATTTTTCTGTATGTACAGTACGGGCATGTACAGGGTGTTTCCGATACATACACATCTTATGTCGGGTTGCCTATTTGATTATCGGCAGGGGCATGCTCAGATGCAGTATTAAACATTTTTCTGTATGTACACGGGCATGTACACGCTTTAGAGCGAACTAAATTGAGTTCTCAAAAAGATTTCGATCATTTCCCGATTTTCGCATTCAAAATATTAATTTCTGAAGAGTCGAAAATTCGCTATCGCGATAGCTAGCCGCGCGAAGAGCGGGGATTGGTTGGCAAGCGCTCCGCCGCCCTCGCCGCGCACACCGCCGCTAGCCCCCAAACGTATGACTTGAACGGCGCGCTTGCCAGGCCACAATATAAGTACACCCACGGTAATTAATTCTGTCCCTTGGAAATTTTCACAAAATGAAAAGTGACCTCCTTTCTGTATTAATTATCACTATTCATGCACGATAAGGTTCAGTCGTAACGTTAATCGTGCATAGATTGTGACAATTAATATAGAAAGGTGGTCATTTTTTATTTTGTGAAAATTTCCGAGGGACAGAATTAATTACCGTGGGTGTACATATAGTAGGTTGACTGAGGCTAAAATCCGCGAAATGATTGTCACTCGCGCATGACGGAAATGCACACTCAATAATATGGCGGCTTATAGGGATTCTCGTCTGTTTTCGTCTCGTGGAACACAGGTCGATACGGGTCGACAAGGACGACAAGTCAGTTCCGACGAACCACCCCACCGTTACGGACGCGTTTTGGTTCGGGTGCTTTCCATTGTATATTTTTGAAAGTCTTACCGACTTTGACTGTGCATCGCACCACACAGATGCGTGTCCGCGGATGAGCTCGTCTCGATCTCGATTGTTCGTCATTTTGCACCTTTTGACGACTAGAGCTCTCATGACGCGCGTTATTGCGACGTGACGACGCCGTAGATGCAGGCGCCTGAAGACCGGTCGAGCCATTTTCGCGGGCATTGCATCAAATATGAAGAAAAGAAGCGGATATTCGTGTGCGATATATATAGATTAGTATTCAAATTGTCCGCGCTGCCCATTCAACATCATGGCCGACCATTTTTCTTCAGATCAAAGGTGCCGACATAGAGTCGACCTACTGTATGTACTTATACTGTGGTCAGGCCGTCCCGCAGCTTCCCGCGGCCCGCGCGCCCATCGCGGCGTTCTGTAGGCGTACACTCAGGCCGGTATTCATAGTCGGTTCTTATTTCAAGACTGTCTTAAGTAATGTTTTAAGATGCTAAAGCGACCCTCTGGCCGGTATTCATAGTCAGTTCTTATATTTAAGACCGTCTTAAGTTCAGTCTTAAGATGCCCTTTCGATTCATAGTTGGAGAATGAGCAAAGACTTGAACAAAATCTGAAGGCATAACTTGTCAAAGACAATCTTATTTTAAAATCCCTATTCGTGTTTCAGAAACGTATCTTATTTTAGATAAGTATAGACTTAAGGTTATCTCATTAAGTATGTATTTATAGTGCTTTAAGATCATCTTATCTATGGAAAAATGTCGCATATAAGACATCATTTTCCAAATCATGTCCGGAGGTGTCTTAAGGTAACACATAAGAAAAATAAGATAAGTTTTATAAATAAATTATATTTCCATTATGAATTTACAAGATATGGATTTGCAAGATTTCGATGACGATATTCCTGATCTGATCATTGAATTAATGATACGTACTCCCAAGCGATACATACGAGATGGACATAACCCCTTTGAATTTTATAATGAAATTGAATTTAAACGTCGCTTTCGATTTTCTAAAGAAGCTGTAATGTATGGGCTTTTACCGAAAGTTGAAGAAGATTTAATTAAAATAAATAATCGAGGCCTTCCTATTGCCCCCGTGATACAATTACTTGTGAGCTTACGATTCTACGCGACTGGAAGCTTTCAGGTAAAGAAATTAAAAAATAGCTTATTAATACTATTCCAGATAACAATACGTTCGCACAATAATCGCAATGATTGCATTTTATTTATAGTTAGTATCAGCAGATATAATAAAAATATCACAGCCTAGTATTTCAAGAATAATTTCTCGTGTTTCTGTGTTACTTGCTCGAAATATTCCTCATGTAATAAAGATGCCATCTTCTGTGGAAGAAATTAATGAAAACCGTACTTTATTCCGAAACATGGGATATGGAAACAGAGCTACCGGATTACCTGGAATTGATGGTGCTATTGATTGCACTCATATTCGATTAACACACACTAGATTTCAAGGTATCGAAGAAATATATAGGAATCGCAAAGGATACTTTTCTCTTAATGTACAGGTATGTTATATGTAGTTTTATATTTTGCAGATATTAGGAATCATTCTTATAATTTTAACATACCGATTAACTTTATGACAGAACGTAGCATCCGTTTAAAATCAAGTCTAGTATTTGCATAATATTAACCGAGCGAATGTGAATAATGTTTTATCAATCTTGATAAAACATCGTCACATTCGTTTCAGTTAATATGCACACTAGATTTTATACAGACAATGTTCTATCATCAAGTCATTTATATCTATTTAAGATATACGAAGTCATTATATGCATATAAAGTCACAAATTTTTTTTTAGTATAATATAATCAAATATCTATGGTTGTTTTTTGATAATTTGTTTTGTTGTGTCAAATATTGAGCAATTATACATATAATTGTTATCTATATATGTATTTGCAGGCTGTCGTTGGGGCACGGATGGAATTTCTTGATATCGTACCAGAGTGGCCAGGAAGCCAACATGATAGCCGTATTTTTCAGAATTCTAGACTTTATATGCGTTATACAAGACGAGAATTAACTGGTATATTAGTTGGTGATAACGGCTATCCTTGTTTGCCGTTTCTTCTGACGCCTATTTTAAATCCAGAAACCGATGAACAAATCGCGTATAATATCATCCATCGAAAAACTAGACTAATTGTAGAGAGAACATTTGGAGTTTGGAAACGGCGATTTCCTTGCTTAGCACGAGGACTTACGACAAAACTGATTTGTAGTACAACAATTGTTGTAGCATGTGCAGTTTTGCATAATCTTTCACTTATTTATGATAATAAACTGCCAGACGATGAAGAGAATGAAATGTATGATAATAACGATAATGGAGAGAATAATGAAAATTATGCAGAATGGCAACCAGCAGATGGATTTATAATGAGGAATGCTATCATAGAACGTTTATTTCATTAATATATTATAGAATACTACATGTAGTATGTTCATCCGTTTTCTTTTTAAATAATTAATACTAATACGAATACTTATATTCTTATAAACTTGTCATACATTATTTGAACTTTTCTTTATTTAACATTGACAAACAATAGGAATGTAATGTTTCATTACATAATGTTTTTTTATTACATAACATTTATTAGATAATATTTTATTAATTTATTACATAATGTATATATATAATATCACAATGTATCACAATGTCAAATATTAAAAATAAAAAAAATTCATTTTTCAGTTTGTGTAACTACAATTGCAATTCAGTTATTTATGTTGTAGCAACAGTTGCACATAGTATCTTGTAAAGTAAATGTATATCAGTTACCAGTGGACTATCAGTGTACATAACTAAATTATTGGATGAAATAACAAAAATTTTTATTATTGAACTTTTAAATTTTTATTATTAAACTTTGAATAATATATATGATTTTAATTAGATTCATTTATAAAAATTTTATAATGAATTTATTTAGAGTCTTATATATATATTATTAAAAACTTTATATTTAATATTTATTTCATCTAACAATTACGTCATATCCATTTACTGTACATTTTCCTTAAATTATAAACATATATTATTAACATAACGTTAAAATGAAATTTATTTATATATTTTATAATATATAACACAAAATATAGGAACAAGAGCAAGAACATAAATGATATAACACCTTTAAGTATTAAACTTAACATATCACATGTCGTGAAAAAAAAATGAAAAACATCGATTGACGAAAATGTCATAAAATTACACGTTGGTCAGAAACTTTTACCAACTATTGTATATTAATATATGATATGTAAGAAATGTGTAATATTAGGATTCAAAATAATTTTCGTTTTTTTTAGTTTGTAACTGCAATTGCAATTCAGCTGTTTTTGTTGCAGCAACAGCTGCAAGTAGCTCTTGTTCTTGCATTTTTCTTAAATGCTCTTCTCTTAAATCAGACATTTTTTTTTCGTGTTTTATTTTTATTGTATTAATTTCCATTTCTTGCTCAAGAATTTTTTGTATTTTTTCTCTTTTCAATTTTGCTTCGTCTTCGTTGTCATTAACAAGATTCGTATTATGTTTTATACGTTTTATTGATGCAGATTTATCTTTATTTTGCTGTAGCCTCTTCCATTCTGCAGATGTGTGTATTAATTAATAAAATGAAATATATTATTTTTTTAAAGTACTTGTTGATGTTATAATATTATGTTTATATACCTGTCGTCAAAGAATTCTTAGTAATCGGTATGTCAATGTTAAGATTCTCTGATGGTGATTCTTTCAATGGTGAATCTTTGTCACCTATCTCTTCTTCTTTAGACACATTTGGTTCTAGGTTCTCTTCTATTACAGAAAAAAAAGTATTAACTTTAACTAAATCAGTTTCTTATAAATTATACACGTTTTTAGAGCAATATCAAACTTACTATTTAAGATTTCATCGATAATATTTTTTTCGCTATTACGAAAACTCTCTTCTTTATTACTTTCTGTGTTTATTGTCTCATCGTCCAATATAATAGGTATTTCATTTAGATTATAATCATTAAATGAATCATTTATCATTTCTTTTTCTCGTTCTACAAATATAAAACATTTTTTGTATATTATTGACTATTATAGTATGAACATTATATATTATTTATATTATAATAGAATACAATACATAAAATATAAAATTGTCATCAAAATATAATACAGTTAAATTTAATTTATTAAAGATATCATATATACCTTCAATTTCTTTGCTATCAAAATTAGACGAATAAATTGTTGGTGCAGTTTTCATTAAGTCTGGAGCGATTACTGATATATCAGGATCAATTTCAACTGATGTAATGGATGGTCCTCCACCTGTTGCCATCCGGGCTTGCTTTTCCTTGGTTAATGCATCTCTTTGATTCTGTTTTAAATTTGTCCATAACTTTTTTAGTTGCTGAATACTCCTCTACAATAATTATTGATTATTTAAGATTTAAGGAACTAGTTTAAAAATAATGATTAATAAAAAATGATACAGAATAAGCCTTCTACGTAATTTTCTTACTTCTTGAATAATTAATTGAGATGCATTATATTCTTTGGTTATGTCTGACCAAGCTTCGTCTTTACTTTTTAATGCAGAAAAATTATTTTTTTTTAACTCTATTACATGTTTATATCTTTTTAATATATCTAAAAATAATTTTCTTTCAATTGTTGTAAAATGCTTTGCTTTATTTTTGTTTTTATCCATCTTAATGTGTAGCTTCTATAACTTGATTTCTACGAAACGATGAACAAGGTTAGGAATTAAATCTATAGACTATTATATATATTCTAGTACATCTCTCATTGGCTAATCCGAAAAAAATTTTACGAGTTTACCCGAAGTTAAAAATGAGATTACCTCAAGTTTTGCCTTTATCAAGATCAACTTACATTAAATGAGACTATACTTAATACCAATTCCTTCAAAAAGGTTATCTTATTTCTGAACTATGAATACATTCTATCTTAAGGAGTCCTTATACAGATAAGATGGACTTTATTAAGGAGATCTTAAATGCTATCTTGAGACAGGACTATGAATACCGGCCTCTGATTGGTTCGTAACTCTTTAAGACTGAACTTAAGACGGTCTTGAATATAAGAACTGACTACGAATACCGGCCTCAGTGGTGTGGTAGGCCGGACGAACGCGCGTATTTGCCAATCTTTAAAAATTAATATCTCGTTAACTATTGCTACAAGCCCAAAATGGTACAGGACTTTTCGACTCATTGTCAGTATAGTCTGGGTAAAAATATAGATTAGGGCAGCCTCCCCCAATGACATTGACCTTGACATATGTTGTCAAGGTCATAACCCTGAGTGATCTTGAGGAAGTTTTAACCGTCAAACCTAACTCGTTAAAAAGTTATTAACAAAAAAAGTTTCAAAATTAACGTATTATTTCTGCTATATACATTGTTGTACCTCTCGGTGCAACAAGATATTATTTTGGGATTCGATCCGCTCAAAGGGTTGGAACCCACGAGGAAAACGAGGAAAATGGTCAAGGTTGTAGAACAAACACTCACTGCACCACACTTTTATTAAAATAACACCTTTTATTTATTATAACAATTACAATTTCGAGTGGTTATTACCACTAGTTACATTTAACCCTTTATTTATTAATGTAATTACCCGATTAAATTATTACACTTTGGTTGTTACAAAACGGGTAATTGATTACAATAGTTGAATTTAATTAAAAGAATATACTCGGGTTAAAGTCCTCGCTCGTGACTTAGACCGGTCGGCGACACTCGTTATCGCGGATGTAATATGACTCGGTTCTCGCGACGCGCGTAACGTATCGTTACGTTTAGATGTATGACAAGACTCTCTCGCCGGTCCTTAGACCGCCGAATATATAGGCGTCGCGGTGTCATCGAACTAGCGGCATGCGTGCCGTGTGCAATGCGGACTTCGTCCTCTTGCATTTCGGCAGTTCGTTGTCCTGTCGAAATGCAAGATTTGCTTTTTAGTAATAATTGTTCGATGTGCGTGCGATCATTGCTTGCGTTCGATCAGTGATCCATATATGTAGTAGTATTACATATATGCAGTGATCGCTGTCCGCACGCGCTATGGAATTTGCAGCCCTGCATTTCCGCAAGTCGTTGCTATACCGAAATGCAAAGGTTGCTTCGCGGTAATAATCTTTCATTTCCGCCAGCTCGTGCTAGGCTGAAATGCGAGACTTAATTGTGGTAGCACTCGCGGGCTACAACAATATGAATAATATGAAGTTCTATTCTACACCTTTCCCTGTTCAGAAACGTTGAACTTTCCACGCGAAGTAACTTTTACCCCCCCCCTCCCCCTGCACAGGGGCACACGACTTCTACGATTGTACTATTGCTGTGATTGTACTGTCGGGGCAGACCTCTGTGACGGTGTGGGTGCGGGGGGGGTGGCCGAAGGCCACCTCCTTGCACCCACCCGTGTGTGCGTGCGTGCGTGCGTGCGTGCGTGCGTGCGTGTGTACTGTGACTTCTTTTGGATAAACTTCCGAAAATGTTATATTGATATATCTTTATTTTGATTTTTTCAGTTGTTGTGAATAGTTTTGATCGATATGTTTCAATTAGTCAGTCAGATTACCTCGACGCAAGTAAGACGCTTTACAAACGTTAAAAATGCATTTGCATGACTTTATTAATCTAACTTATGGTGTTCCATTCGTTATATGACGATTATGAGTCTATTACTTGATATTTTACACACGCACACGCACACGCACACGCACACACACGGGTGCAAGGGGGCGGCCTTCGGCCACCCCCCCGCACCCACACCGTTACAGAGGTCTGCCCCGACAGTACAATCACAGCAATAGTACAATCGTAGAAGTCGTGTGCTCCTGTGCAGGGAGGGGGGGGTGAAAGTTACTTCGCGTGGAAAGTTTAACGTTTCTGAACAGGGAAAGGTGTAGAATAGGATTTCATATTATACATGTATAGCAGAAATAATACGTTAATTTTGAAACTTTTTCGTTAATAACTTTTTAACGAGTTAGGTCCGACAGTTAAAACTTCCTCAAGGTCACTCAGGGTCATGACCTTGACAACATACGTCAAGGTCAAGATCATTGGGGGAGGCTTCTCTAATCTACATTTTTACCAAATAGACAGATTATTCATGACTTTTGCTGCGTCTTCGCCACCAATGGCCTAGTTTACACCCTACGTTTAGGCCGCCACCTATACTCTAAGGGTGCCGGCACAGATTTTCCGCGTAACGCGTATCGCGTAACCAATTAGGGACCAGTACGCGTTTTTCGAGTCGTTACGCCTTTATTACGCGTTTTCATTACGCGGAATTCAATTTTTATATGTTTACACAAGACCGCATGGCGCATATGACAGAGAAGATTTTGTCGATTTTGTATTCATCATGGATAAATCAGTAAGCAAATTAGTTTTATTTAATACATTCCATTATCAACTCGGTATGCAGTATTAAAATTTAATTTATGATCTTATTAATGAAGTATTTATATAAATTAATTTATTGGAAATTATTTTTTCAAGTTATAAGGTTAAATTAGGTTAAGTGATAGATAATGTATATAATAATGGTAGTAAAACTTTTAAAGTATGAATTTTTTCCTTCAGGTTTTTAATTTTTTCTAAATATTTTAAATAAAACAATGTAACTCTGTAAAGAGAAATATTATATTGCTTATTATTAATTTTAAATTATTTATTAATATTTCCAGCAAATTCGATGTGGATATTGTGGATGGCTAATGGCATATCATTGTGAAAATTTATTAGAACATAATTGTTTTAAAGAATATGATGAAACTAAACATTTTCTGCACATTGATGAAAATTTTGTAGTTACTATTAGTATGTAAATATATATTTATAATAAGTATTATATGTACATTATACGTTATTATCAAATCTTCTATTGCAGCACAAAAATCAGCTGATTATAATAATGCAGATACAGAACCATGGTCGCAATCCCAAAGTGTTAATCCAGAGTTTGATGAATGCCTTATAATGGCAGTCATGAATAGACCTTCATTGTATGATCATTGGTTAAATATAAAACAGAGGTCCAAGTTGAAAAAATCGGCTTTATGGGAAGAGATAAAAAATACAATTAATAGTATGTGTTTAAAAATTAAAATTTGTTTTTATCACATTTTAGAAATATAGCTAATGTTTAGAAAAATTATCCTCTATAGTAGATGATATTTAAATTATATGATTATAAGTTTTATAATTATAAGATTTAATGTTAAACAGGTAAAATATGAGTATCAAAGATTTGCAAAAACGATCGAAATATCATCGTGACTGTTACATTAGAGCTAGGAAAAAAATGAAAGAATATGTGCCAAGTGGTTCCGATGTATCTTCTGCAAACTTTAAAAGTACTTACAGATTTTTTGACCTAATGAGACCATTAGATGACACGCTTCAAACTAAATCGTATGTAATATTGCAATGAAGCATTAAATTTTACATATTACAAAATTAGTAATGTATACAATTAATTATTAGAAGATTCACGAAATTGAAAATTAAAATATTACAAATTAAAAAACTAGAGTGCAATGTATGTATTAATATATTTTAAAATATTATTTTACAGAACAATAAATACATTATTGAACGAAGTTGAAATATCTTCAAATGAAGATACAGTGTCCAGTGAATCTATGTCTATGCAACTAAGTCCATCATCTGCTTCGTTCAATACAGAAAATCCTATAACTGATTGTTTAGACACTTCAAATGGTACGTTTGTATCATCAAACATACCATTTGAAATGTCAACTCCAGTTACAAGTTGTACATCTAAAACACTGAAGCCTATTTTGAAAACTAGTAAAAGTATGTAACTAAATGTATGTTCCATTAAGCTGTGATCAATTTAAAGTTCTAATATTCATTTTTAATTACAGGACAAAAACATAATGATTCAGAAATACAAATAGCTTTACTAGATATTATAAAGGAGCCAATTCAACCCATAGATGCTATTGATGGCTACTTGAAAACTTTAGGAGAGGCTTTACGTCG